GATTCAGAGATGTTGCACTGGAGTCGGTTTGAAAATTTTTGTACATGCTGCATTTGTTCTTGCAGCTGTAAATATCTCTGCCTTTTGTCTAGGTGACGAACATTAGAGGGAGACAGCAGTAATGTTGGCTTTAAACTGCCCAACCTCCATCTCCACTCACACTATTTTCCTCATATTCTGCATGCATTGCATCAGCAAATGTTATCCTTATCCCCATCAAAAACTGTAAAGCCTCAAAATTGCATTGTAATTTTCTGCATTGTAGTATTTTGAGCCAAAAAAAAAAAGAAAATTCATATAGCAAGAAAAAAAAAAAAAAAGACTTAACGGGTGCAGAGCCATTCTGCATTAAAATTTTTTCCAAGTAAGCCCATAAACTGGTGTTAGATTTTTATTATGTGTTATGTTTTTTTACTTTTTCAAGATTAGGTCAAATAGGAGTCTGTTCTCAAGAGAACAGTAAATGTGCTTCATTTACACATTTTTGTGTGTGTGTTATTGATCTCTCACTGCACTTCCAGCTACATTCACCCACTTAAATTCACACATCAGTCAGTAAATTAAAGCCATCGTAGGATTCAGACTCTTGCTTAACAACACCGACATGTGGGGTGGGGAAGCTGAGATTTGACTCCAGTTGGCAGACGACTGCTTGCGTTCAGCCAGCAACGAGATTTTATTCTTGTATCCAAATGATTCGAAGCGCTATAAAACTGCATTGGCCATTGTAGCTGAGTTCGCCTCAGAAAGCTGGGGATGTAAAAAGTTTGGGAACAAAACAAAATATGCAAACTGTTAGAAATAAAATGGAATTTTTTTAAAATTGATTTATTTTATTAAGCATTAAAAATCTTTTTTTTTTTTTTTATATGATGGAACACATATTAGGTTCAGGCTGTTTTTAAATGACATTCCTGCTTTCAGTAACAAAAGAGGGCCACTAGCTCTGTTAAAGAAATGTGTGTTGTCCTTGTGTGGATGTGTGAATATACATTGCAACGCTGTGTGCCCTCAGCCTTTGCGACGCACGCTAGATTTATCACCCTCACTTAATACACTCATAAACATTCCCTGGCATGTCACACAGGCTGCGAACCCCCCTGCACGACTGGCTCGGTAAATTGGGCCTGTGTAAACCATTTTGCCTGTCTAAAATACAGTGCAGCAAATTGAAATCCCCAGTAAGTCTGCGTAGCGGCATGTCACAGCTGGGTAGGGAGGCGGCAGAATGGAGGTTTTCTCATTTACCACCTGGAGTTTTACCCCCCTAACCCCCCTACCCCCAAGTGTCATGACCAGCTTTTCTCCCGCTCTTCTCCGTTTCTCTTTTCAAGTCTTCCCATCAGGCTCTTTTTAACTTTCTGCTTCCCCTCCCTCCCACCACGACCCGACCTTCATCTCCCTCCCCGCCCCCCACCTCTTCGTGGAAATGTACTATAACTGCTGCGTTCAGTCCTCGTCACTCTGACATGAGTCCAGTATTTATTGTATATTTGGGAATCTTTTAGGCTGACAGGTTGAGGGCAAACTGCAGTCATTAAACTGTCCAGGAAGGGAAACAAGCTTGGTTATTAACCTCCAGGGTGGCAGCAGAGACGCCCGCAGACAAGTGATTTTTAAAATGGCTGAATTATTTGGCAATGACCTGTGTGCCCACTAAATTTCTCTTACGCCTTTACAACTGACTGCAGAAGGTTCCTCTAGCGTAAGCATATTAACTTGAAAAGTCTTTCTGGATCTTTTAAAACATAACATGAAAACAGAAGATGGCTATTGGTCACCATTCGTTTTCAGCCATTCAGAAACGTTCACTCTCTCGAGACCTTTGGCGCCCACCTTAGGCGCCCCATTCCTCATCCCAGAGCACTTCTCCAGCCTTTTTTCTTTTCCCCTTGGATAACCTCACTCTGTGCCTCTTCGCCCAGGACTGTAAGTAATGGGCTCATTTTGACCCTCCATGCCTCATTGTGTAAGATTTCAGCTTCTGACCTTAAAAAATGAAAGCAAATCGATAGGGTGGGACACATGAATTCCAAAGAGTAAAATTCAAGCCAAGCCTGGAGCCTAAGAGGAGGAAGAGAGCTGTGTGGATCACTGAAGAACTTCACAAAAGCCTGAATGAAAGGAAGGAACTTTTGCATTAACGCACAGCTCCTAGAGCAACTGTCTGTGTAGTGAGATGACATTTGCAACACTCTGTGAGTAAATTAGGCCACAGTGAATTTGGACAAAGCAAAATGAAGAGCTGAGAGTAGGGGAGACAAAGGTAAAAAAAAAAAAAAAAACCCTCAAAGTTGAGGCTTGAACTGCAGCTGTGAAAGTTCAAGGAACCCTAAGAAGGTGGAAATAACTCAATAGAGCATTCAAGGGATTGAAATTCCTGTGCACAGCTGCCAGAGCAAATGTTGCTTAATTTTGTTCTTTCTCCTTGTGGCTTGTGCAACTATGTCCAGAAGACAAGACAGAAGGCATTTAAGTGAAGATATAGTGTTGATTTTAAAATCTTGAACTTGTTTTAAGTCTTATGAGTAGCTGCGTTTTCATTGCAGATGTGGGCAAATCTTTGTCTATGCTCTGCTAATGTTGATAAAACGCAATTTCCCAATTGCAGTGTCATACACCTTTAATCAAAAGACCAGTTTATTTAACATCTTCACTGGTTTCTGCTTTCTATAAACACCTACTTATGCCAATAGTTGGTAATTAATTTGCTGAAATATTACGTACCTGCAGTTGTGTGCATTTTGCTTATCTTGGCCATTTTAGTTTATTTAAACATGTCATTAGGTAAGGATCCAAACATTTACATATCAAATTCTATCATGTAAATGAAGTACACCCACTGGCCACTTTATTAGGGACACATAGATGAATTGTTCAGCAAAAACTGTTTGTGTTGTTGTTTGCAATATGAGTTCATTCAGGGTTTTACACATTGGTCACAGCATTACTTCTTTCCGTTCCGTCATGACAACTTTTTTTTTTTACCTAAACGTAATGATCTCATTAACATCTTAGTCTGAAATGCCAGTGTTCAGTGCCTCAAGTACCTAAAGTGGTCAAAAAATTACACTGTCATGTCTTTCAATACAAAAATTCAGCATGCTGAGGTGAGTTGATCTTCATCAGGGCAGACAGAGCTACTATGCAGCTCATATGGCATCACATGACTTAATTATGGTGTTCTTTTTAGGAGATTTGAATAAACTTAATCACTGTAAATAATGTAGTGGTGGGGTATGTGTGTTGTCACTGTGAGTTACAGTAGGCTACAGAATTTTTGTACGTGTGAAAAATATCAAATGACGCATGCTAAGATGGATAATATGTAAAGAAAAGAAACTTACTTAGACCCAGATATCTTCATACGTTAGTGTGACGGGGCTATTAAATTGTCTTCTGTGCCGTTATCTTTAGATGATCTCAGATCACATGATTTGGATTTGAACTGGATAAAGTCTTGGTTTGTTACCGACATGTTCTATGTGGCTGTTTTTTGCACCTGTATCGAGAGAGAGCTCCTTCTGTGTTCTCACACTGCGTGTGTGTGTGTGTGTGTGTTCTTATCAGTCTATGATTGTATTCCAGCATACAGTGTGTGTACGTGTTAGCATGGCACAGAGAGTGGCTGCCCATCAGTTCCATTTAGCTCAGCGTGGTAATTGGCCATCCATTGATGGACGTGGCTCCCTCTTCACGCTCCAGGGACCCCGGCTTTTTGTCTGAGAAGTGGGAGTAGACACGCTGGCATGGCACACGCGCTTAAAATAGCGCATCAAATCAGCCATGCTCCAACAGTCGCTGTTAACGTGTGGTGCAAATCGGAGGGCTAATGGTGTGTGCGTGTGTGTTAAACTGAGTGTGTGTGTGTTTTCACAGCATGTTTTAAGGTTTTGAGGTCCTCCCCTGGGACGTTGAGGGTTAACCTGGTTAACTAGAGCTGTAGGTGGTATTTTGTTATGTCTTCCTCTCTTCCTGGACATCATCTTCTCTTCTGCTTCATCCATCAGTATCTTATTTTTTTATTTTATTTTTTTTTGCATTGCACATAGCCTTTTTCTTTTTCCATGTTTTTTCCCCATTCTTTTTGCCTCTCCCTCCTTTCTTACCCACTGGGCTTCAGCTCTCCCTCGCTGTCATTATGTGCAGTGTCCCTGCAATAGAGATATAAATGGTCTGTGAGCAGGGGGCCCTGACTCCTGTACCATAAATCTACACAAACAGAACAACAAGCAAATAAAAGGAGCCAGCGATGGAGGGGGGGGAAGTCGAGTAGGAAAAACAAAGGTGGAATCAAATTTTGAATAAGTTTTGCGAGCTGAGGATTACACTGAAAAAGACATTCATATGTAGATGGTTATAAAATATACTGGAGTGGATTATTGCATCAGGATCACACACTCTCGGAGGTGAAAATTGTTTCGCAGTGTAATGAAATTGGTTCTGGCAATTTCAGTAGAGAGCAGGATCTTGCCATCATTTAAAACTGTTTATAATCTGCTGGAAGCCATATGAAGTCTAATTTGTGAGAGCCTCCTCAGTGAACTGTTTACTTAAAACATAATGAAGTGGACTGGAAAACAAAAATCATATGCTGCATTCAAGATCTCGCCTGAAAGCCCTTTTTGGAACGCTGTTATTGTGGAAAGCAATTTTTTTTTTTTTTTTCCTGTTCCCGATTAAAGGGACGGTATTAAAATATGTATTTATTACGTGCTGCTGTGTTTTTATCTCTTAGCAACAGTGATTTAATCTCTTCTCTGTCTCACAGCTGCCCTAAAATGTCTCGTCTTTTAATTTGTAGTGCTTGCCGTTTCGTCAAAAGCTGTATTTTTTTTATTTTTTTTTATTGTTTCACACATTTTTAACTCCCTCGTGAAACATTGTTCCACCTCATCTTAGTGTCTTTAACTTTTTCCTCTTCTCACATAATAGTTTTACTGAAAATATATTGTATCAGTTTGTGCTAAATCATTGTTTTCTCCTTGTGTTTCTTCCAGCAGCCCTATGCTCCACCCCCTCATCCCATGGCTCCTCCCAGCCCCAGCACCAACAGCTGCAGCCAGGGAGGGGCGGAGCAGCTCAGTAAGACCAACCTGTACATTCGCGGTCTGCCGCCTGGAACCACCGACCAGGACCTTATCAAGCTCTGCCAACCGTAAGGACGTCAAACCTTAGTACCAAATTCACGTTTGCAAATGTAATGGGCTTCATGTTGGATAGCGCCTGCTCAAAAAAACCCCCAAAAATGTATGCCATCATTTCAGAAGGTGATGTCGCAGGTAGAGAGGTTCTGTTAAGGATTTTTTTTTTTCTACCAAAGATGTTGATCTCGGTCAATTAGGTTTGGACATAAAAATTCAGTACTACATTGGTTAATAAATTTCATTATATACTTAAAAATTCTTGACAGAAATATTTCATTGATTGGTGTGAAAAATCGGATCATTAGGTTAGGAACTGGTAGTTGCCTTTTCCTGCCCAGATGTCAGTCAGCCCAGAAGAGGTTAAAGATTTCCTCACAATATTTAATTGCTTAGGACTCTTATATTTGTACTCCATAGCATTTGTTCTCAGTTTGACTCGAGGCTTCGTCTCTATTGAGTGCCACTCTTTAACTTGTATAATTTTGCTACATTTATCGTGCTTTGCTTGGATTCAATTTAAAATGTGTTTACATCTTCAGTTCCATAGCTCTCCATTTAATACTGGGTCATGATTTTAATTACTTACTTTTTGGAAATAATTTCTAACCAGTCCTTTATTTCAGAAATAGTTTTTTTTTTTTTTTTTTCAGTGTATACATGTCTGCTTTTAATGCATGAAATAAATTACCAGTAGTCCTCGGTCTATACAAATGGTGTGATTAAACTAAGCAGTTCACCTCTTGAGCAGACTGCAGCATGAAAAAGGTCCATACCTTGCACGCACTATTAAGCTGCTACCAACTGAGTGCATTTTAAAGTTCCACACAAAGAAGTACTTAGAATGCTCAGACGAATGTTCTCGATAGAGAAGACGCACACAAACCTCCCTGCACACAGCTCAGTGAGGCCTAATAAAGCCTAGATTGGACCACATCCCCCAGGAATCACAGACCAAGCCCTCATCAAGCTGTAACACACAGTCACATGGGCCTTCCTTTTCCTCTTTCTCTCACACACACACCCCCACTCTCTCTCTCTCACACACACACACACACAAGCAGCTTTGTTCAGCTTTATTAAGTCCTTTTCGCTCCCAACATGGTGAAAACGAGGTCAAGATTATTAATGCAGACAAGGCCAGCAGATTGTGAAATGCAGGCTATGAGTGAATCTGTCTGGTTGCATAACCTTTTCTTGGCCATTTTTCCAGAAATGTCCTGGTCAAACGTGGCCAATTATTCAATGATGTTTTGGAGACGGGAACATGCCGTCCACTATATTGGGTAATTCTCCCGGTAGTCGTGTCATAAGTCATGCATTTATTCTTGAAACTCATCATCAAGATTCCATTAGGTTGAGAGGCGGCCCGATAGGATTTGGAAAAGCACTCAGCGTTTTGACATTGGATATCTCTGGTTTAGGCCTTTCTAAATGCATTCCGCCCCCCGTTGTACACAGTTGGGCAGTTTCAGTTTGATTTCTAATTCTATATGATCTTAAACATTTCGAGCACCACAGTTTGAAAGGTCAAAACACATCAGAGCTTATGCAAAATACTCTGGGATTGTGGATTTGCATTTTAATGTTTTTTTTTTTTTTTTCTCCATATTATGGAAAGCAAAAGGCTTTTGTCTTTTCCTGCATGGATTTGCCGTGCTGTCCTCTTGTGGCTGTCCTCCTGTTCAGCTGCTTCCTTGGTTTTTGCTCATCCTCTTGTCTTATATCGCCCATCTTTCCCTCTTTGAGCCCCCAAGGTTGCCCGAGGTTTGCTATGCTAGTGAAAATTCAATGCCACTGAAACTTTAATTAGCCAGACTGTGTTTCAGTGGCAGGCGGGTGGCAGCATTTTAGAAAAGGTCATTCAACTGTTCTGCAGAAACCAGCTCCCTGGGTTCCCTTCAGCTTTTTTTTTTTTTTTTTTTTTTTTCCAGAGCCCCTGGCACTTTTCAACACACAAAGCTCCTCCTCTCATGGCTCCCAACCCTGGCAGCTCTCCCAGGGAGACTGAATGTTAGACATAAACTCTCACTAAATATGGCAGCTTTATTTTAAGGATAAAGAAAATTATTTTAATCTTGTTAGCAGGCTTAGGTAATTTTCATAATCATAAGCAAGGGCTGGTAAGCTTGCTCAGACAATTTCTGTCATTATTTCTGTGATTTCTGGCTGCTCTGTCACACGCAAGCGCCGCTTGAGTCCTGGTTCACCTCTATATGGAAAGCGAAACCAACTGCTGCCAAACTGCTGCATTCTTGTCAAGAAGCCATATTGTAGCTGCTGCTGATTTGACGCCGCAAATTACAATAAAATAAAGTTGCCAAAATAATGGAAGATATTTTTCTGTTGCTGTGCTTGTAACCTTGCTCTGTGGAACTGAAATTTCATTGCCAAAATTCTGCTAAATTCACTTCAAGCAATCTTCACCACAGCTTTAACTTATCTCATATTTGTTCATAAAATTAAAAAGTGTATCAGAAATGGCAGATGTCTTATCTTCCATAGTTACGCATTTTCTTATTTATTTAGAGGCTGTGGACCTTTCAATTTAACTTTACACATTTGAAGACTGGCCACTGCTGTGAATGTCAAAAATAACAAATTTGTAGGTACTTGAGTTTGGGAAAATATGATATTTTTGAAAGTGTAAATGTGAATAAGCCCTGTAAACACGTTGAACAGAATTCTTTGCCTGTTTGACTTGAACCATTGACCCATGTTTGACCCGTCTTTTTCATCAATTTTGATAAATAGTAGTTTTTCTACATAAATACCCCTCAAATTTCAGTTTCTTAAAAAGTTAACATGGGAGTTTTCTACCAGATGCTCTACTAGGAAGTTTAAAGGCCATTGCTAAAGTTTTGAGTAGTTATTTAATGGAAATAAAAAAGAAAAAAACTGATAGAAAAATGTGCAAAAGTAAGAAAAAATAAACCTCCTTAAGAGAATTGTGAACACATTCAGTAGTTTGACAGATTCATATGGAGTGGTCTGCAGCTTTAGTTGGTGCCTCAAGAGCTACAAAGGTATTCAGGATGTGGGCTGGAACGATCACATTCCTTGGTCTAAGCCACTTCTAAACCAGAGACTACCTTACCTATGCCATGGAGCAAAAAGACTGAGCCATTGCTTATATAGTGTAACATTTTAAATGAAGGGCTGCACAGTGGCGCAGTTGGTAGAGCTGTTGCCTTGCAGCAAGAAGGTTCTGGGTTCCCGGCGTGGGTTTTCTCCGGGTACTCCGGTTTCCTCCCACAGTCCAAAAACATGACTGTCAGATTAATTGGCCTCTCCAAATTGCCCCTAGGTGTGAGTGTGTGTGTGTCTCTGTGTTGCCCTGCGACAGACTGGCGACCTGTCCAGGGTGACCCCGCCTCTTGCCCGGATTGTTAGCTGGAGATAGGCACCAGCAAACCCTCCCGACCCCACTGAGGGACGAGGGTGTAAAGAAAATGGATGGATGAATTTTAAATGAATTATCTAAAATAAATACACTTGTTCAGGGACATATCAGCGTGATGCATACAGGCACATTTAAATAATCAGTTGACCTTAAAAGATGAAGTAGCTCACATAATCTGCCGAAATATTTTTCAAAAATCATTTTAGATCAACTAATAAATGATGATGGATGAATTGTGTGGTTTTCTATGTTCGTTCAGAGCGTGATGGAGGCTAAAGGTGTTCTTTGTTTTTAATGTGCATGTCATTCCTTACAGTCTATTTTAGTTTTCTTTCATCAGTCATTACACCCTTGTAACTGAACCTTGCTTCAATGCAACAACAATTTGCCTATAAAAACATCTGGATGTGCCATTATGTTTTATTAATGCCAACATTTTTTTTAGAATCACTTTTCCTTTAATGTCTCTGTTGTCCATGGGAGTAAAATCAAACGCTAAAGAAAACCAGCCTTTCAACAGTGGTTAAGGTTACTTGCCGCAAGCTGTTAGATGAGTTATTAAATGAATTTGGGTGGGTACTTAATCTCTGCTTTATTCATCTGGCTGGATGAAGAGTTCTTCACCAACCATCAGCCTGATATATGGCTGCAGCAGGGAGGCCAAAGGAGTGGGGTGGGAATAGTTGGCTGAACACACAGTTCGTGAGAGGTCTTCCCACTTGCCTGCCTGGCTGGATGACTGGATGAATACAGGAAAGGAGAGGAAAAAAGCGGTGGCTAAAACAGCCACTTTTGTCTTTTTCTTTAGCCTCACCAGCTATGTTAAGGCACCGGGCCAACCCGTAAGTCCAACACCAACTGAGGGTTGCAGCCAACATATTCAACCCAACCATCAAACCCAGCACGCCCTTGAGTCGTTTGGTGTAAAGTAAACTTTCGAAGACCTTTCGTTGTTAGTGACCGGATCTAAGGCTGTGACCCCACCCCGGGACCCCATTAGGGTGGAGTCCTGCCCTGAAGGTCTAAATTAAGAACGATCATTAGAGCCGAGGCCAACATAGATAAAATACTTCAGATGTTTTTTGTTTTTTTTCCAACAATAAGGAGACTAAAATTGAAACCACCACAAAAACAAAGGACCAGAGTGGGTTGAATGGTCCACACTCCATCATTTCAATGCTTTTATTTTTCCTCACCCTCTCATCTTCCTCCTCCTCCACCACCCAACTCCCAGTCTGCTTCTCTTCAGCCATTTTCAGTCATGGCTGAGCCGCAGCTGTGCCCTCAGTGGAATTGGTTTCTGCATGCATGCACCGACTTGGTCACACAAATAGAACAAGCCAAATCAAGAGCTAATCACCACCAATTGTGCAAATAACCTTTCCCATGTGTCTGAGGGAGTTGTGGAGGGGCAGCTGGAGATTACGGCAGGAGGGGGCAGGAGGTGGGACTGGGAGGTTTGTTTAGTAGATTAGGTGGATTGCAAAAAGGTGACCCAGAGACCACCTGTTTTTATAAAAGGGAGACCCCAGCAGACACGGCAGCCAAATTAGGCCTAATCCTCCATCAAAGCTGGCCCATCCCATTCCCCTGGCTTTTCAGAAAGTGAAA